GTTGGGACATGCATCAAAGATAAAAAAAAAAGAAAAAAGTTTCTGTTGTTCTTTCTTTTCATTAGCACCAGTGTGTGCTAGTAAACCAAGGGTGTATGTACTGGGTCTGCATAGTGCATAGTTATGATCAGTTGCATGTAACTGCCCTATTAAAAATGCACATTACGGTTGCCACTGCAGTGCTTAGGCACTTCTTCCCTGCCTCTCTGTTTCGTGTGCTGTAGGTTTGCTGTCCTAATAACAGAACTTTGTGCCCATTCCCTGGTTAACTGTGTTTGGCCACTTGGTTCTTAACTCTTTAATTTTTTTTTTTTTTCTCTTCTGTCAGAGAGAACGCTTTGCTATCAATAGCATTTCTCTCATATCAGGACCAGATCTGGTGAGTATGTGCATTCTTCAGGAAGCAGGTGACTTCTTTCATTAAACCAGGGTATATTTCTGACATATTTTCTCTTCTCCAGTGCCAAAGAAAAGCTGACTAAGTATTCCATATGAAAACTATCCCCAGAATCTTAGCTACCTGGGTAGGAAATGCGTGTCACACAAGTGCAGTAAAGATATTTTTTTTTCTTTTTTTTTTTCCTCAGAAAAGGAAGATTAAAGACAATGTGTGTCTCTCCCCACAGATAAATATGACAGGAGAACTAGTGACAACTGATATGGAAAAGGTTGAGGTACTCAACTTATGGGATTGTTTAGGTTTTTTCTTTTTTATTTTTTTCCTCAGTTTTCATTGGCAATCACCATTCCCACATCTCTCAAGTCTCTGAACCTCAAGGCAGGGGTTGTGGATACAAACTCGCTTCCATTGTAAAAGATCAGATTTGAGACCATTTGAAGAATATGAACATGCACACAATTCTATAGGGCCTAATGAGATGAATACCAGGGTCCTGAGGGAATTGGCAGATGCAGTTGCTAAGCCATTCTTCATCATATTTGAAAAGTCATTGAATTCAGGTGAAGTTCCCAGAAACTGGATAAAAGGAAATATCACAGACATTTTTATAAGGATAATAAAGACCCTGTGACCTGCAGACCAGTCAGTCTCACCTGAGGGCCTAGTAAGATCATTGAACAGATACTCCCAGAAGTTAGGTCAAAACATATGGAAGACAGGGAGGTCATTAGAGACAGTAAACATGGCTTCACTATGAGGTATCATAGAGGTATGTTCTAACCTCCAAACTGAAGAAGTATGTATTTGATGGATAAGTTGTTAAATGGGTGAGGAATTGGCTGAATAGCTGTACCCAAAAAGTTACAGCCAATGGCTCAGTGTCCAAACAAAAGCCAGTAATAAGTGAAAGAAACCAGTAATGAGTCATGTCCCTCAGGGGTCCATACTGGGACAGGTACTGTATCAGTGCTATAGGTAGTGGGCTTGAGTACATGCTCAGCAACTCCGCATATGACACCAAGCTGAGTAGTGCAGTGCAGTTGATTCGCTAGAGGGAAGAATGTTGACAGCCTTAAGGAGTGGGCCCTTATGAACTCCATGAAGGGCCAGTAAGTCAAGGGAGGTAAAACTCTTCTTCACTCTCATGAGACCCCACCTTGAGTACTGCATCACGCTCTGGAGGCCCCAGTACAAGATATGGATCTGTTGGAGCAGGTCCAGAGGAGGGCCACAAAAATGGTCAGAGGGCTCGAACGCCTTTCCTATGAAGACAGATTGAGAGAGTTGGGATTTTTCAGACTGAAGAAGCAAAGGCTACAGACACCTTATTGTGGTCTTTCAGAGCCTATAAGACTTCAACATGATCTGTACTGACAGGGCAAAGGACAATAGTTTTAAACTGAAAGAGGGTAGATTTGGATTGAACACACAGAAGAAATTTTTGATGATGAGTGTGGTGGAACACACTGGAACAGGCTGCCCAGGGAAGCTGTGGATGCCTTGTCCATGGAAATGTTCAAAATTAGGTTGGATGAGGCTTTCACTTGATCTAGTGAAGGATGTCCCTACTCACAGTCTACACAATCTTTGAACATCCCTGTCAGTGCAAATGACTCTATGAAACTCAGCAACTTTCCGGATATTGAGTTTCCATATCAAGGCACAGTTTAATTTTAAAAGACAGATCTGGTAGACCAGATGAAATTTGGTGTATAATTTAGAATCAGCTAGGAGGGAAGAAGACAGGGAAATAGGCTCCAACCTTGCTTCACTTTATTAGATGAATTTCTGTCGGGAGTAGAAAAACAGTGTTACGAACAAGTATTTATCTTCTTAGTTTTTTTAAAAAAAGCCTTTCCATATGGGTTCCAACATGAAGATGCATGGAGATAGGCAAAAAGAGATGGGGGAAATATATGTGGCCACTGATTCCTGGGCAGAAGTAGCTCAGTATGGAGCAGGGTTATAGTATGAAGCTGTAACTTTTTTTTTATCCCATGGAAAATAATAAATAAAGTTAAAAGCAGAAACAAAACCTCAGCATTCCAGAGTGGCACAACTTATCAGGGACTGAATGGGGAGGTGATTTGGGGAAGCTCAGGATTGGCCATTAACCTGTCCTGGGTTCAGCAGTAGCAGTCATGTTTCTCCTTCTTGGTAGCTGGTGCAGTGCAGTGTTTTGACTTTCGGCTCGGGAACAGAGCTGATAACAAGGATGTTTTGGTTTGGCCAAGGACTTTGTGAGCCTCATGCTCTGCCAGGGAGGAGGGGAAGCCAGGAGGAAGCAGAGACAGGACACCTGACCCAAACTGACCAAAGAGGTATTCCATACCACAGCACGTCATGCCCAGGATGTAACTGGGAGTTAGCCGGAAGGGCTGGGAGACTGCAGGGTTGGAGGAGGTATCGGTCAGAGCTTGGTCGGGCTGGGGGGGCGAGTTATCGGTCGGCTGGTGGTGAGATGATGTATTCTCTTCCCTTGTTATTTCCTTTATCATTATTATCATTGTTTTAGCTGATGGTAGCAGTAGTGATTTGTGTTATACCTTAGTTACTAAACTGTTCTTATCTCAACCCGTGGGAGTTGCATTCTTTTCGATTCTCCTCTCCGTCCCTCCGAGAGCAGGGGGAGGGAAAGAAAAGGGGGGGGAAGTGAGTGAACGAATTACCTGACTGGGTTTAAACCACGACATAACCTTATAGCAGGGATCTGCAAATCGTAATAACTTCCAGTGGGGCCTGTAATATGGTCAAATTATCAAGGACTGAACAGACTGAAGAACTGGATTTTCACAGCAGGGTGGGTTCATAGAGCCCTGCAGCAGGTGGTGCTAAACTACCCTGTTAGCAACATCCTGGTGAGGATACAGCTACTTTACTCTTGAAATCTCCTGTAAATAACAGAGGACCTGACTACAGAGTGCACAGCTTCTCACAGAAGCCTGGTCTTGCACAGCAGTACAGTTATGGTCCCTGAACTTCCCCCCCCGCCCCCCCCGAAGGAGGAAAGTGGCCTTAGGAAAGGGAACACCATGAACTTAGCCTTTGCATCCCCACTGTACTCCAGAATTCTCGCCATAGCCCAATCCAGGATACTGTCAAGTTCCATGTGGAACAGGACATTTGTGCTGGTTTGAGCCTTTAGGACGTCTCCTTCAGTCCTGGTTCTTGTTTTGCCCCAGTGGATTTCCATTGGGCCTATGCTGAAAAGACTGTGCATGAGCAACATTCTAGGCTACATCATTTTCTCTTGCCAATAAAGGGCCACTGGAACAGTGATAGCTCTGCTAGCAGATGCAATATGCATCTGTGACCTATGACAAGGTATTGATTGATTGTTGATTAATCTTATGTTGTATCTTTATGGAAGGACACATAACAAAAAGCAGCTCAGCTTCCAACGGCCCAAAAAAAAAAAAAAAAAAAAAAAAAAAAAAAAAGAAAAAAAGAAGGAAACAAAAAAGCCACCACCAACGTCCATGAGGGGGCAGCAAAAGTACTGGAAACTTTTCACCCCGATCATTTCAGGTCGAAAGCCAGCTATCGAATGATTTTTTATTAAGTACTGTTTCTTGTTTTCAACAGTACTACCTCAAAAGACTTTTATCCCCCAAGAAGCAAACCCAGAGTTTAATACCTTCCCACCGAATGACAAAACCGCCTTCCTTTTTACATGTTTAATTTTTTAGTGACTAAAAAAGCTACTCTGTGTCCACCACCACAAGAATGGAAAGTGCAGTAAAAGTATTACTCCAAAAGAACCAGTTTACCTTAAAAAGAATTAAAGTAGAGCACGTAACGGTTAAACTCCCCATTAGTGTACCTTAACACCTAAACTCTACTTGAGAAAAAATTCAGAAAGGGAGGGAAATGGAAGTGAGAACAATATTTAGAAAGGATAGAATTTTGCAGAAAGACAATTGGATGGATTTTGCTGCAAGATGCTTCATTAAAAATAATTTTAAAAAAAGTTTAAAGTTTTAAAGTCACACACGAGAAATGATGCAACCAGGCGAAACTGCAATACATAACATACCCATTTTTTGAAAAAAAAAGAACAAAACCAAAACCAAACCAAATCCAACCTAAATCAACAACAAAAATATCTCAAACAAAAAGAAAAACAAACAAAAAAAAACACCCCCACCCAAAACAAACAATCACAGTGAAAAATCAAAGAGTAATTTATTGAAATGATTCAGTAACTGGGACACCTTTTTATGATCGAGGTTTTACTTCTAAATGATTATGATCACCAACAGTTTACAAAAAAAAAACCAACAAAAACACAGACCAAAAAAACAACTATCCACACCAAAAAAACGCTCATGTAAACTATTAGACACAGACCCAACGTCTTTGCTTTCTCTCTATCGAAAAAAACAAACGGGTGTACCGAAAAAGAGCAGAAACACAGAAGTACTTCTACAGCAAGAAGGGGAGCTCACGGGAAGCCCGCCTTTTTCGGCCAGTACAGTGCCAGATGGGGAGAGGGGGTAAATCTTGGGAGCTCCAGGCTCCGCTCCTCCTCACCGCAGTTTTCAACCAGGTCGGATCTCAGCATAGGCGGCAGGCGGTTCTCACAACTGCTTCCTTTATCTGGCAGCAGGGTCTGCGGTGAGTATGTCTGGCAGAGGCAAAGGCGGGAAGGGGCTCGGCAAGGGTGGTGCTAAGCGCCACCGGAAAGTGCTGCGTGACAACATCCAGGGCATCACTAAGCCGGCCATCCGGCGCCTGGCTCGGCGTGGCGGTGTGAAGCGCATCTCGGGGCTCATCTACGAAGAGACTCGCGGTGTGTTGAAGGTCTTTCTGGAGAACGTGATCCGCGACGCTGTCACCTACACGGAGCACGCCAAGAGAAAGACGGTGACCGCCATGGATGTCGTTTATGCTCTGAAACGCCAGGGGCGCACCCTCTACGGCTTCGGCGGTTAAAGCCTTCCGTTTCCAGAACATTTTACGAACCGAGTTCAAAAGCTCTTTTAAAAGCCCCTCATGTTTTCGTGAGAAGGACTGTGACACTGTTTTCCGTGAAGAGATAATCAGAAGCATTTGGTAGGTTTGGTATGGCTTCTGTCATCTAATTTTGCTGTTCCTGGCAAAGTTGTCTTGGTTGTGTGAGGAGGTTTATTTGCTTTACTGTTACATTCCATTATGGATGTTATACCCCAAGAATAATCACTTCTAAGTGCCTTTTTTAATCAAAGCTCAATATGCTTGAATATTGAATTAGTTGGAATATTGCTCAGTGTGTTGTACTTTAAAATTTTCATTTAATTGAAAGTAGATAATCACTGCAAGGAAGAAGGGGAAAACAATTTATCACCTGGGGAATAAACATGAAAGTTGCTCCAAGATGAACCTTTACTTTCTGATGATTCAAATAAATGATTTTTTGTTATAACCTGTCTTTAGTTTCTTGTCACTGATTTCTTTAAAGCTATTTCAGGAGTAAACCGAAATTTTCAAAATTATTTGGGGGTGGGGGGGTGAACCTTGAACAAAAATTATGTCCTCGACAATGCATTTCAATAAAATAAGTAAAAAGTCCCGTGCAGGAGCTTTTATCGTTCTCATGACCCAAAAAATGCTCTCATCCAGTTTGTGTTACTAAAGTATTAGTGTTCTATTTCCTTCATCGCTGGTGAAAAAGCAAACAAACAAAAGCTGAAGAAAACCAGATTTCATGTTCATATATAAACCGCTGCTGTCATTGACCAAATGTTTGTGATCCACAAAAAATTATGATCAATAAATATTCATGGTCACTTCCGGTTTTCTTGCAGCCTTAAAGAGTAGAGGCAAATTAAATAATACCCTAAGTCCGTATTCCCTTGTAAAGGCCTCAATTTCCCAAATAAGTTTTCTAAGTGTTGTCAAAATCACAATTTTACCTAAGATATCTCCTGCCGAATTTCCTAGAGAAAATACACCAACAAAAAAAGTAGCTTAAAAGTTACATCTCGATTGTTACAGGCCATTACACACTTGCTACAGCCCTGCATTACAAAAAAAAAAAAAAAAAGGAAAAAAAAAAAAAGCACTATTATGGGCAAATTCTGAATTTGAGCGTCTATATGGCTTTTAACCTACCCGGAACCTGGCGGAGAGAGAAAGCCCGAAAAGCAGAAGGCATGAGACCTCTGTGCCTGCAGTACCTGCCCCCCGAAAGCTTTGGAGTCCCACCGAGGGAGTCTGGACTCTTGAGTGGAATCGTGGTGAGGGTGCAGCTGAATGGCTGTGCGGGGAGCACTGAACGAACTCAGCTTCCTTGGGCCCAGGCTAGGATTACACAGTAGCCAATGAAATCGAGCTTCCAGGCGTCCAATCAAAGACGGGATAGGTCTATAAATGTCAGCATTGGGGGCTCGTTTTATTCATTTGTGCTTGTTCTACGAGGGAGATAGGAGGGAAGGTGTTATGGCTCGTACGAAGCAGACTGCGCGCAAATCAACCGGCGGGAAGGCGCCCCGCAAGCAGCTGGCTACCAAGGCGGCCCGCAAGAGCGCGCCCGCCACGGGCGGCGTGAAGAAGCCGCACCGGTACCGTCCCGGCACGGTGGCGCTGCGCGAGATCCGGCGCTACCAGAAGTCGACGGAGCTGCTGATCCGCAAGCTGCCCTTCCAGCGCCTGGTGCGCGAGATCGCGCAGGACTTCAAGACCGATCTGCGCTTCCAGAGCTCGGCCGTGATGGCGCTGCAGGAGGCGAGCGAGGCTTACCTGGTGGGGCTCTTCGAGGACACCAACCTGTGTGCCATCCACGCCAAGCGCGTCACCATCATGCCCAAGGATATCCAGCTGGCGCGGCGCATCCGCGGCGAGCGCGCCTGAGCTTTCTGCCGCAGCCCCTCTGGCCTTCAGCTGACACCAAGCAGCTGATACTGACCCAAAGGCTCTTTTAAGAGCCACTCCAAGAACACTGAAAGAAGCTGTGGCACTGCTTTTTAAAAAAGGTGCTTTAGAGTAAGTCAACGTTTATCTAGTCTGTAATATTTTATGGCTTGTTTTTTCATTTTGGGGGGCCGGGGGGAGGGTATTTTTTGTGGTGTTTTTTTTGGTTGGGGTTTTCGGGGGGAATTTTGATTTGGTTGGGTATTTTTGTGTGTGGTTGGTTTGTTTCTTTTCCTTCTCCCTTATTTATTGCTTAAACGTTTGTCTATAGAATCATCTTTTGTAAAGCCCACAAGATTGCAATGTCTTGGGGTGTTTTGCAAAAACTGAAGGGGAGTGACAGGAACTTTATGAACACCAGTAGATATGGAGACACTGAAGCTGGAGTGGACAGGCTGAGGCCTATATTTGTTTAAGGATAGTGAGCAGAGAATATCTGGTTTCTGGCTGGGATGTTTATGTCCCTGACTGGACTCAACAGCTCTAAGGGAGGTGCAAAGTAGGGACATGACTGAGGAAAAATAAGGTTATATGTTTCCTAGAGGAAGAGGGGGAGTGGTGGTGGTTGGGAGGAAAGTGTTTTTTGCAAGAGATTTATAAAATCTTGGAGTGGAAAATTGTTTTTTCCAATAAGGCATGTACATACTTGTTAAACTTCCTCAGGTAGTAGTGTCTAGATTTTATGCAGTCAGAAAACATGCAGAGTTCTTAGATTCACCTTCTCTAGTGGAAGGTGTCTCTGGAACTGGATTATCTGTAAGGCCCTTTCCAACGTAAGCCGCTCTAAAATCCTATATGTTCTTTTAGTGGAAACCAAAACCATTCTATGATTTTTGCAGTCAGATTTCTAGGATGCTTGCAGGATATATTTAGGTAGCATACATTCTTCCTTATAAAGACCTACTTTTGCTCAGATTGTTACTATTGCATACATAGGAGTAACCAGTCTAACAAGAGCCTGAGCCTTAAAATAGTTAAAAACTTGGGCCTCAGATTCATTAATGGAGAGTAGCTGTTGTTTCCCCTATTATTTTGGGAAACACCTTACCAGCTTCTCCCCACCTGTGTTACCAAGTAAGGAGTGAAATAGCTGTGCAGTCTCCAGTTAACAGAGGAGCTGGTCTTTTTAATTTTGTGTTTTTGAAATAGAATGTACATCGTTATGGTTGGGTCAGGGTTTCTTTAAGATTTCACATCAGGTTATTTGCATGTGAATTAAAAACTTTTCTGAGTTTGAAATGAAATAGAATGAAAGAAAGGTAAATGATACAGAAAGAAAATATTGGCTTTTTTAATTGAAGCTTTATGCTACAGCATGATTGAGATTTCTTCTTCTCTTGAAAGGCAGCATGGTGTGAGAAAGGGCTTTTCATTTACAGCCAGGGGACTGAAGAAAACCTTCCAACAGGCCATACAACTTCTGTGTCTATTAAAAGTCAGATAAGAAAAGCATAATCTCAAACCTTGATTTTTCACTGTTTTAGTTGTCCAAGAACATATTTAATGTTAACCAGAAAATAACAAAAAAAAAAAAGAATTTTGTCTTACTTTTAACCACCTTGTTAACACTGAGATCCTACCCCAGTCCTTCTTAGCTATTCTACTAGGCAGCACTGATGAAAGACCTGGGAAAAAAAGACAAGCTATTACCTAGTCATCGTTTATGTTGAATCATTTTCTCATTCTCTTTTGAGAGCAGATTTGGAGTCTGGTATCAGTGAGGGCTCCTTACACAGCCTCTCTGCATTATAAGCAGATGTTTGCCTGCTCCAGTATGTTCTTTTTTTTTTTTTTTTTTTTTGTTGTGTGGGAGTTCTGTGAACTCCCTCTTACTTTAGTTACAATTGTAACAAGTCTGAAGTTTTAGCCATTTGCCTTTGCTAAACTCAAGGGGGTGCCTAGAAACAAACTTAATTTCAGTTACTAATACACTGCCAATGTATAACAACAATTAGAACCAGGGTGGAGCCTACTGAAGTGTTAGAGACAAACAGTTAATTTCTAAATCATAATAATATAATTCCTTTCAAATCAGACCTATAAGAACAGTCTATGATATTATGCCAGGGGCAGTTCTGCTTTCAACTTTATAAGTTTGATACTCCTTACTCTGCAAGCGGCGATGCACAAAGAGATGAATAGAGAATTTTAGTTGGGAGCTACAACAGTCGTCTAGTTGAACTAGGTTTTTTTCATTTTATTTGTCACGTTGTTGGCACCACATAAAATACAGCCATGTGGAGAAAGCCAGGTGATGCTGAACAGAGAGGACTGCAATAGAAAAAAAGGTGAACAGATACTGAAAAGAATTAGAATTTGCGAGTGAAGAAAAATCATGTATATGTTCTTTTAGAACATATAGAATACATGTATATATATTATAGAATCCTAGAACAGTTTGGGTTGGAAGAGACCTTAAAGTTCTTCCAGTTCCAGCCCCCTGCCATAGGCAGAGACACCTTCCACTGGATCGGGTTCCTCCACATCCTGTCCAACCTGGCCTTGAATGCTGCCAGGGATGGAGCAGCCGCAGCTTCTCTGGGCAACCTGTGCCAGTGTCTCACCACCGTCATAGTGAACATTTTTTTCCCCTAATGTCTAAGCTAAATCTCTTCTCTTTCAATTTGAAGATATTGCTCCTTGTCCTGTGACTACATGTCCTTGTAAGAAGTCCCTCCCCAGCTTTCTTGTTCGCTCCTTTACATACTAGAAGCTGCTCTAAGGTCTCCCCAGAGCTTTCTTTTATCCAGCCTTAACAATGCCAATTCTCTCGGCCTGTCTTCATAGTGCTGAAGGCCCCAGAGCTGAATGCAGTACTCCAAATTTGGTCTAGCAAGAATGGAGTAGAGGGGGAAATATATGTAATCTACGAATATATGCGTTTATACCTACATCTTTATGCTATGATTATTTCTTGCATCTACCTTGGCTTACTTCCTGTGTATTTTTTTCTGAAACACCCTATGAAACTTCCTGCAGACTTCCTGATGCTCAAATACCTGAATTACGGTAATCAGCTGACCATGGAGAAGTGGGGGAATACGAGCTGAATAGACTAAAAACCCCACCGCACAAAAAAACAAAAAACAAAAAAAAAAACAAAAAAACCAAACAGCCCACCGCACAAAACACAACCCAAACAACCCCGCCCCCCCCCCCCCCCAACAACAGAACTTTAGAGTGATAAAGTGCGCCCAAGACATTAATTAAAGCCATGTCACAGCTCTTCTGTGTCATGTGGTGGTGGCTCTTAAAAGAGCCTTTAGGGTGTGAGAAAGGGTCACGATCACAAGAGAATGTGAAACTTTAGGCGCGCTCGCCGCGGATGCGCCGCGCCAGCTGGATATCCTTGGGCATGATGGTGACGCGCTTGGCGTGGATAGCACACAGGTTGGTGTCCTCGAAAAGCCCCACCAGGTAAGCCTCGCTCGCCTCCTGCAGCGCCATCACGGCCGAGCTCTGGAAGCGCAGGTCGGTCTTGAAGTCCTGCGCGATCTCGCGCACCAGGCGCTGGAAGGGCAGCTTGCGGATCAGCAGCTCCGTCGACTTCTGGTAGCGCCGGATCTCGCGCAGCGCCACCGTGCCGGGACGGTACCGGTGCGGCTTCTTCACGCCGCCCGTGGCGGGCGCGCTCTTGCGGGCCGCCTTGGTAGCCAGCTGCTTGCGGGGCGCCTTCCCGCCGGTTGATTTGCGCGCAGTCTGCTTCGTCCGCGCCATAACACTAAAACACTAAAAGAGCTTATCCACACCGCTAACGCCGAATGAAGGTACAGGGCTGCCGGGGCGTATTTATAGCATGTTCCCTTCTCTGATTGGCTGGTCGGACAGGCAATGCACCGTTACTACTGGATCTTTTAAAATTCGAAAAGCCCGCCTGGAAAGCGCGCCTATTCTGCAACCTCCCCCCGGCTCTCGCCCTCCCGCCGCCTTTGACTTGTAGCTATTGTTCTCCCTCGTGTCTGTTTCTTATAGTATTTTTTTCAATACTTGTCTCACAAATTAAACCATTTAGAGAAAATCTATCCAAACGTAAATGCTTAATCTTAAATTACGCTGCTTTGAGTCAACAGAAGATTAATCTTAATTTTCTTCTAAATGCACCAGAACTTAAGCTTTAAAAAAATAGTTGTTGTACAGGCTCTCCTCAATAGGGATCTTGACAGCAGTATTTTTTTGGCTTTTTTGATGCTTCAAAAACACCCTTTCTTTCCAGGGTGTGTATGTATGTGTGGAGGCTGTTTTGTGGTTTGATTCTTTGTGGTTTCCCCCCCCCCCCCCCCCCCCCCTTTTTTTTTTTCTTTTTTAAAATATTGTAATTTTAGTTTACACATAGTAAAAAGTACTACTTTACCTCATATGGTAAATACTCTTGGACTGAGAGAAACTGCACGTGAAATGCACTAATGCAAGGAACAGTGCATTCCACAACTTCTGAATTTCTTTCAGCACATGAAGCATTTCCGGGCTGTTGCTCACTGGAATGCATGATTTCTAGTCCATCAGCTTTCTGGTTTCTCTGCTGCATATTCTTGCTGGTTTTCCCTACCTAGGAGCATTATTCTTGAGGACTGAGCAGAGACGGGCTTCTGGATCTAGGAGGGCTGGTGCTGACGTGGGGCTTGGAGAACAGCCCAGGGTTGCATGGAGCAGCTTCCCGAATTTCAAACACACCAGTCATAGAAAGAATGTAGTCACAGAATCATCATATCATATAGTTCCAATCCCTCTGACACTGACAGAGACACCTGCCACAATAACAGACAACTCCCTAAAAAAAAAAAAAAAAATAAAAATAAAAAGACAGAATTTATTATTTAAAATTTTATTAGGATAGGGTTCAGGGGGCAAAGCAGATGTGGCACCTCCGCTCTGGCATCCATACCTTTTCATGTACCAAGCACCATTACAGTTATTAGCTGTTTAAATACAGCAAGTATCTACCGCTGATGCTGTTTACTTAGCAAAAAAAAAAGACCACCACACAGGACCGCGAGATACCCGCGAGGCAATGCAGACCTGCCTCTGCACTAGGCCAGCTCACCAGCTCGAAATGGGAGCGCAATTTTAGACTGTTTGCTGTTTTTACAAAAAAAAAAAAAAAGGCAAAATTTCTTCCAAATAAGCTGCTACTACTAAAATCAATTCGCATATTTGCTAATTCTCTAAATTAAGAGCCCCAAAAGTAATGGCAAAACATATTGTTAATTTTCAAGTGCTTACACTCAGAGCTACTTGCATTAACAATTAACTAGTGAAAAATACATTTAGCAACAGAAACAAAGCATAAGAACATTGCCTTTCAATTCACCATCTTTGAAGCAACACAGCTCTTTTCCAGTTTAAGTGGGTGGCTCTTAAAAGAGCCTTTGAATTCGGTTTGTAAAATGTTCTGGAAAATGAAAGCTTTAGCCGCCAAAGCCATAGAGGGTGCGACCCTGGCGCTTCAAAGCATACACCACGTCCATCGCGGTCACCGTCTTCCTCTTGGCATGCTCCGTGTAGGTGACAGCGTCGCGGATTACGTTCTCCAGAAAGACTTTCAATACGCCGCGCGTCTCCTCGTAGATGAGCCCCGAAATGCGCTTCACACCGCCACGCCGGGCCAGTCGCCGGATGGCCGGCTTAGTGATGCCCTGGATGTTGTCACGCAGCACCTTTCGGTGGCGCTTAGCGCCACCCTTGCCGAGCCCCTTCCCGCCTTTGCCTCTACCAGACATTACACCCACTTAAGAGCTGAAAACCACACGCAGGAACAGCCCGCCGGCGCCGCTCTCTTATACTCTGAGATCCGACCTCGTTGGGGACTGTGGAGAGCAGGGGCGTGGCTCCCGTCTTTTTTTTTTTTTTTGTTTATGTCACAGCTCGTGATTGGAGTATCGAATGCTGTTACTCGTTATTACACTACCTCCCCCGGTACGAAAAATCCCAACGACGTGCATGTCCGTAACTATTGGAAAGCTTTTCCCCCCTTCTTGGATTTGTATAAACCAATTTCTCTACATACATGTGTATCTTGTTTTCTTGTATCGACTGATTTTTTTTTTGAATTACTGCAGTTTCTGATTATTTTCACGCTGTTTATTAACCTTTTTTTTCTTTATTTGTATTCCAAGTTCTATAATCTTTTCTTCTGAAGTTTTAATGTTTTGATATCTCCTACTGGATTTAGGAAATATTCCACAGTATCTGTGCTGTCAGGTTTTTTAATATATTTAGTTTGTATTTTGCTTTCTACTTCTCATTTCTTCAATGAGAATTTTGATACTCTTTTCCAACTTTTACACAAGCACTTTTGAGTCTCTAAGCACATATTAACCAGAAGGCGGAATAGAGTATTTTTTTTATATCATTACTTTTATATTAGGTTGTAACTTTTACTAATTTTGCTCATTTTGGAGTTATTGCTGTGGGTATTTTTGTTTATTTGATTTTACAAAATTTCCTTTATCATCACTACAGATTTAAATTACTGTTACCTTAATTACTAAGAAAATCAGCTTTCTTTTGTACCGCAGATCAAGCTTTTTGGTCTTTATCTGGGTCTAAATCTATACTGGAAACATTAGATTCTGAATTAGTATTTAAGAAAGTAAGGAGCAATCTTTGTAAAAGATCATCACAAATGTCACAGAATAAGAACATCCTGAGCTGGAACAGCTACTAGACTAAGATATAAAGAATAGTTTCATTTTATGGGGATGTGGGGGAGGAGATCTAAGTGTAACAACAGCAAAGGATTCTACAGGTGTATTGCTAACAAAAGACAGACTAGGGATAATGCGGACCCTCTCCAGAAGGAAATGAGAGATCCCTGGATTTGGAGAAGGCTGAGTTTCTTTGCCTTGGTCTTCACTAGCAAGTTCTCTTACCATGCACTCAAGTCTTGGAAGGCAGATGCAGGGACTGTGAGAATGAAGACCTTAGACCCACTGTAGGGCAGAATCAGGTTCAAGATCATCTTAAGAACCTGAACGTGCATGAGACCATGGGACCCATCCATATGCGGGTCCTGAAGGAGCTGACAAATGAAGCTGCTAAACCACTGTCCATCATATTTGAAAAACTCATGGCAGTCAGGTGAAGTTCCTGACTACTGTAAAAAGGGAAATATAACCCTCATCATCCAGAGGGGAAAATGGAAGACCCAGGGAACTGCAGACCAGTAGGTCTCACCTCTGTGCCTGGCAAAATCTTGGATCAGATTCTCCTGGAAGGCATGCTAAGGCACATGGAAAACAACAAGGTCATTGGTGACAGCCAGCATGACTTCACTAAGTGGAAATCCTGCCCAACCAATTTAGTGACCTTCTATGATGGGACTGCAGAACTGATGGATAGGGGCAGAGCAGTTGATGTTGTCTACCCGGACTCGTGCAAAGCGTTCAACACTGTCCTACATGACATCCTTGTCTCTGAACTGGAGAGACATCAATTTGATGGATGGACCACTCGGTGGATAAAGAATTGGCTGGATGTCTGCATGCAAAGAGTTGTGGCCAATGGCTCAATGTCCAATTGGAGACCGATAATGAGTGGTGTCCCTCAGTGGTCAGTTGTTGGGACTGATCCTGATTAACGTCTTTGTCAGTGACGTGGACAGTGGGGTTGAGTGCACCTTCAGCAAGTTTGCCGATGACACCAAGCTGTCTGGTTCGGTGGATACGCTGGAGGGAACAGGTGCCATCCAGAGGGACCTTGACACACTTGGGAGGTGGCCAATGCAAACCTCATGAAGTTCAACAATGTGCAGACGCTGGGCATGAACATTCCTGACTGTGCAAGGTCCTACACTTGGGTCAGGGCAATCCCAAGCAAACCTACAGGTTGGGCAGAGAAGGACTTGTGAGTGTTGGTGAATGAGAAACTGAACATGAGCCAGCTTCAGTGTATGCTCGCAGCCCAGAAACCACCCATGTGCTGGGCTGCATCAAAGGGAGTGTGACCAGCAGGTCAGAGGAGGTGATCCTGCCCCTCTACTCTGCTCTTGTGAGACCCCACTTGGAGTACTGTGTGCAGTCCTCGTGTCCTCAGTGTAAGAAGGACATGGAACTGTTGGAGCAAGTCCAGAAGAGGCCACAAGGATGACCAGGGGCTTGACCTCCACCTATATGAAGACAGCTGAGTGGAGACCTCACAGCATCCTTCCAATATCTGATGGGGTCCTACAAGGATGTTGAGACTCTTCATCAGGGGCTGTAGCAATAAGGCAAGAGGCGATGGGTACAAACTTAAACAGGCAAAGTTCAGGTCAAATATAAGGAAGAAGTTCTTTACTATATGGGTGGTGAGGCACTGGCACAGGTTGTGCAATGAAGTTGTGAATGCTCCATCATTGGCAGTATTCAAGGCCAGTTTGGACAGAGCCTTGGGCGACATGATCTAGTGTGAGACATCCCTGCCCATGGCAGGGTAGCTGGAACTAGATGACATTAAGGTCCTTTCCAACCCTAACTTAACAGTTCTGTGATTTCAGGATTCTGTGATAATTTCATTTTCTTCTTTTCTTTTTTGGTATGAAATGAAAACACAATTACTACATACTCCTTTAAACTGCCATATTAGTGTATATAATTTGTAATTTATCTTTCTTGTGCTACTAAACCAGGAAGAAGTAGCTTCCTTAGTCATTTAATAGTGGTGGAATTACACCACATCAAAAAACCAAAGGAGTGTTTTGCTTTCTATGGTCCTATTAAAAGCTTAAAAGAGGAGTTCATTGTTCTGACATCTCAAATACTGTTTCTAACAATGGCCATAGATGTTTTCATAGTAAATATCAAAACCATGTCTTTTTGAGTGTCTATTTTATTTTATTTTATTTTATTTTATTTTTTTCATGGCTTGGTTTTGAGGTTTGATTTGGATTTTTTTTTGGAAGATAACAAATATCATTTAGATGAAAATTTTTTCTCACTAAGTAATCTGCATCACTTCAGAAAACAAGTATATTAGGAAACATAGCAATGATTTCTGCTTTTCCCCTCTTACGTTGCTCAACCAGCAGACGCATTCACAGCTTTTACCTGTAGCAATTGTGCTTCCCGCTGCAGACATGAAGAGGAATGCATAGATATAATGAAGAGTCTCATCAGATTTGATGTAGTCCTAGGCATACCTTCTTTCTCTTCTTGGGAGGAGTGAACAGGTAAGCAAATATAATATTTGAGCTTAAAAAAATATGTCACTTTTGCTACAGTTCTTATTTATACAGAACTGAAAGATCACAAAACAGTAGAAAAACTCAAACCTTTGCTGTTGTACCTAGACTAAAGATGTATTACAAATAGTTTTGGGTTTTGTGTTTTTGTTTTTTGGTTATTTTTTTTCATTTAGTGTGTGTGGTGTTTTGTTGTTGTTGGTTTGGTTTGGTTTGTTTCTTTTAAATTGTGACTTTCCTTTCTTTACTTACTAGTCCCTTACTAGAGGCAGAAAAGCAAATTTCAATACCCCTCTGTTTCTGCTCCCCAACCCCTACCCATGCTTACTAGTGACAATGCTAAAACAAAAGCACTTAATTTTTTTTTCACTGAGCACATATGCAGACTAAGGACAGACTCACATCATGATGAAATCAAGAAAGATTTAATTTTGCAAGATAGAGGCAAAATACTATGCCTCTAATGTACTGAGAAATCTTGCTGTCTATCCCCATGATTTTTACAGTCAATTTTTTGGTTTTTATTTGTTAAGTTTTTAGCTGCCTAGTTTATATTCCAGTTTTGCATTCTGTAAGTAACAAATGTGGTGTTTTTCACATATGTTTAAGGTCTAGGACAATAGGATAGTACTTCTGAAGGGCACTGTATCTGTACCAATAACTTCAAGGTGAGTAATTAGAATATGCACTTATTTATTTAATACTGACTTAAAAGACATCATACATGCTAAAAGAACTTCAGACTTCAAGTTTTAGGTCAATATTTGGCAAAAATTTATTGTCAGAAATTACATTGTAAGAATATTCATAAATAAATTTCTGGAAATCTATTTGCATATTTTCAAAGTAGTAGTTTTGAATATTGTATGAGTATTGGATAGGTTTTCATACTCCCCGTGCTTTCCACTCACTGGCAGCTGGTGCTTCACTCCATATTCAAAACATTCTGTCACTTTGAAAGGCAGAATGGAATTGCAATCTGTCCTTTGTGAATGAGGCAGGTTGTACAGAGCCCTGCTTTGTACTGCCACCATGCTCCTGTGATCTACCACCCTGAAAACAATGGATCTCATCTGGACTATCTGTGGGAAAGAAACAAATTGCTCCCTTGTACTGAAAACCTGTGCACTTTTGACAGATCAGCACGCCAATATAGTGGAGGCCAGCTCAGAGGAGAAGGCAAAAAGACAATGAGTTTGAGGAATAATGTACTATAAAGAAAGCTTCATTTATCTCAACACCAGGAAGACTGGAGGATTACCATGTTTTTAGATAAGACACTGCACCAATGAATCATAAGGTTCCCTCAGACAACTAGTAATGTTTTTCCTGAGCAAGTCAGACCACCATAAGGATGGGAAAAGCCTGGAGGCAGTGCCTGTGTAAGTCAGCCCAACATAAAGTATACAAACTGGACAAGAAATAAAACAAAGTTTGAAAAAAGCAATGGTCTTGAGGTGGTAACCAATATATCCCTTCCCAGCAACTGGGGAGGCCCAGCATTGAAACAATGAGCATATAGAGACCAGTAATAAGAATCGTGTATATGCTGTGATTCAA